GGTTGTTTGCCGGTCTGACACAAACGCCGAGGAAAGAGAGTGGAGGGGAGCATTTTTTTAATTAATTAAAAAGAAATTAATTATAATCAAATTTAATTATAATTAATTATAATCATTATTATTTAATCATGATTAAAAATATTTAAAATATAATTAATTTGACTAATTATATTTAATTACTAATAATTATTAATTAATTAATAAAATAATCATTCATAATTAAAATAAATAAATTATGAATGATTATAATAATTATTAATTAATTATAATTAAAGTAATTAATATATAATTAATTAATTATATTTTAAATATAATTAATAATAATTAATGTTATGACAATTAATTATAATTAAATTAAGTTAATTATAACTAATATAATTTTTTAAATTAATTTTAAACTAATAATAATAATAATAACTAGTATAACATATATACTAAGTATAATAATAGTATAATAACAATACTAATAAAAATCTATACCTAAAGATTGACCAAGGCAAAGGGGGCGATTGTTGGTTTGGATCAGGCAAGGTAAAGGGAGGTCGGGTAGGAGCAGGAGGCCGTGAGGTTGATCGGGGAGAGCAGGGGAGGAGATCGATGAGGCGTATGCAATAGAGGTCGGCTCGGGTAGAGTTTCCCTTCTCTCTCTCTCTCTCTCTCTCTCTCTCTCTCTCTCTCTCTCTTTCTCTTGGCTTGGGGTCGGCACAGGCAAAGGTGGAGATCAGAGAATATGGAGGTTCGGCCGGAGCTTGGAGGTAGGTTAAGTGTTTACTCTCTCTCTCTCTCTCTCTCTTCTCTCTCTCTCTCTCTTGGCTTGGGGTCGGCACAGGCAAAGGTGGAGATCAGAGAATATGGAGGTTCGGCCGGAGCTTGGAGGTAGGTTAAGTGTTTACTCTCTCTCTCTCTCTCTCTCTCTCTCTCTCTCTCTCTCTTTCTCTCTGGATCAAGGAAACAAGGTGATGGAGGTCCCAGTTATGGCTTGGAATCGAGAGCTTCGTGCGAGGGACAAGTATCGTGAGAAGAGAAGAAGAGAGTGTCGTGTGGAGGTTTGTGGGAGAAGGGCAGCTGAATGATCCCTTTGAGTCGGTATTTAACAACGCAAGAGGGAGCAAAATCGAGGCCATCGTCACAGGTTTTATGCAGGAATTTCAGGAAGTGATGCAAACGGCGCCGATTCAGCAAGATTCGTTGCGGGATCATTTCTGCAGTATTTGCACAGGTATGGATTTGAGCGTGTATTTTCATTTCTTCATTCTCTCTTTTTTTGTTTTGATTTTATACTGAGGTCAACAAAAACCCCCCAACAAATGTGGTACGCGTCTAGAGCGAATCACGTTTGTTGTATGCTGATTGACCCTGTGAATCTCAAGATATTTATTATAGATGTCACACTAGGGATTTCATTTAGTGGATCTTCAATAGCTTACTTGGATGTCACACTAAGATGTTTAGTGGATCTCCAAAAATTTGTTTGGATGTCACACTAAAATTTTTATTTTCCATAGATCTCTTGGATGTATCAATAGATGGTTGAGATACTGATTCCTTTTACCCTGTGCTTTGTGCTGTGGACATTGATGGAGAATTACCTGGTTTGTCTTTACTGACTTGTCAGGTGGTTTTTGTACCTTCGGCTCTATGCTTTTTTGCTTTGGCGGGCTTGTTGAAGGAGTAGATGTCGATGACATAAATCCTTAAGGTTTGTATTAGGTCAATAGAGAAAAGTCATCGGTCGAGAGCTTTGTGCATAGCGGACTTGTTGATGACGAATTCCACTTAGTTCAGCCTTAGGATTTGTGTGAAGTTTGGGATAATTTTCTTCAGTCCTTTTCTTTGTGATTTGACGGACTTGTTGAAGAAAAATTCCTTCGATCATCGCTTTGTGCTTTACGTATTTGTTGAAGGATTTGCAGGTTTTGGATTTAGTCGATAGTACCGAACATAGGTAGTATCTTGATCCTTAACCACTTGAGAAAGTGGGGGTTCCTCTACTACGACCTTTCTTATGGCTTGTTGAGTAGACAGAGCTGCCAGTGATCCGGTCATATTTGGGCGTGTTGGATCTGACCTTTTACACCCATTCGAACCTTAAGCTTCAGGCTATTGAAAGAGTTCAAGCTTCTTCAGCTCAATTTTGTAGGAGTGTGTAGCCACAAAAGTCACTTTCTTGACCTTTGAGTCTTGATTTGTTGGAGGTGTTGTCTCGATCTTTTGAGAGATCACCTGTATATACTTTGAAAAAGAAATCTTTGTATTCTTTAGCACAAAATAACATTTGAATTGATAATTTTAAATATTTATTTAGGGAACTCGGCATGCAGCGCGATGTTGACTCGAATAAATATTTAAAATGCCCTCTATCTCGCAAGGATATTTAGAATTGAATAAATTTGGAATTTTAAGATTTTAAATATTCATTTGGGGATCTCGTCGTGTAGCACGATGTCGAACCAAATGAATATTTAAAATGCTCCCTATCTTGTCGGTACATTTTGGATAGGCTTTTTGTCTTTAAGATTTTAAATATTTATTTTGGGATCTCATCACGCAGCGCGATGTCGACCCAAATAAATATTTAAAATGACCCCAGTCTGATGGGGGATTTTGAAATACGTTCTTGCTACACAAGAGAATTTCAAAAATATAAATATATGCATGCTCTGATAACTATGTACATAAAACTTCGTTCATCATAAAATAGATTAGTTATGAAATTTTCATGCATGATATTTCTTTAGATGTCGGCTGTTGATAGGCGGCATAGGCCTCTGACCATTCAGATCGATCAACTGACAAGCTCCTCCTTGGTACCCTTCTCGACGACAAAGGGGCCTTCCTAATTTTATACGAACTTGCCACCAATTCTTCGGTGTGGGATGATTGGTCTTCTCAACACCAAGACCAATTCCCCTTCTTGAAATGCCCGAGGTCGTACCATAAAATCGAAGGATTTTACCATTCTTACTCGGTAGATTTCTAGGTTTTGTTGAGCTTGTAATATTGAGGCGGGCATTTTGCTTTTGAGTGAGATCATTCTGGATTGCTACCCGAAGTGATGGTAGCTCAATCTCTAATGGTAATATGACTTCAACACCAAACACAAGAGAATAAGGAGTGGCTTTGTTTGGTGTTTTATATGTTGTACGGTATGCCCACCGTGCTTCTGCCATCTTCGTATGCCACTCTCTTTTGTTCTTGGTGAGGATCTTCTTCAATAATTTCACCAGCATCTTATTGAAGGCTTCTGCCAATCCATTTTCCCTTGGATTGTATATGGATGAATATCACCAATCAATTTTATGCCGATCAACAAATTTATAAATCTTTGTACTTTTGAAGGCTGTACCATTGTTTGAGATTACGCGGCCTGGCACACCAAATCTGTAGACAATATTATGAGTGAAAAAAGTTGATCACATGCTTGGATGTGACCTCTTTAAACGGAGCTGCTTTGCCCACTTGGAAAAGTAGTCCGTTGCTGCAAGAATAAAGCGGTGTCCCGCTGAAGACGGCGGATCTATCGGCCCAATTATGTCAGTGCCTCAACATTCAAATGGCCAAGATGCTATTATTGGGTGCAGAGGATTTGGAGGCTGATGTATAACATCACCGTGGATTTGACACTCGTGGCACCTCTTAGCATGGTCGATACAATCTTTTACCACTGTCGGCCAATAATAACCCATTCTCTTAATTTTGGTAGCCATCTTGGGACCTGACTGATGTGCTCCATAATGCCCTTCGTGGACTTCCGATACGACTTTATCAGCTTCCTTGGTCCCTAGGCACCTTAGCCACATTTGATCAAAGGCTCATCTATACAACGTGTCATTAACAAATGCGTATCACAATGCCCTTTTTTGAATTTGTGCAGTCATAGACTTTTCTGTTGGGAGTTTATTTTCCTATAAGTAGTCAATGAATGGCTGTCTCCAATCATTTTCGACTTCAATATCTAAATAATGCCACCAAGATTCTAAAGCTTGACTAGCTTTACGTCTCTTGGCCACATGATATTCTTCTGGATAATTCTCCATAATGATCTGATGGAGAGGTTGAGGGTCAACTGGCACTTTATCTTGCTGACTTGAATATGGAATTCCTTTTGCCCTCAGGAATTGTAATAGAGCGGGCTCTAAGACCCTGCGAGTGTAATCCCCGATGAATATAGGCCTCTCCTCATCGATGTTCGTCATTTCTTTGGCTAATTTGACCAAACAATCTATTTTAGCATTCTGTCCTCGAGGAACTCGAGCTATTTCAACATTTGAAACTTGCTTCAGAAGCCCGAGGGCTCGCCGATGGTAATGGGCCAATTTGACTTTGCCAACCTTGTAGATACCGAGGACCTGATTTATCACGAGCTGAGAATCACCGAAGATTTAGCGATATTGGATTCTGACATCGATCACAATCTCCAGCCCTGCTAATAGAGATTCATACTCTGCTTCATTGTTGGTCCGAGTTTCAGTCAAACTGAATGAGAACCTCATTATGCCTCCCTCAGGTGCTACAAAAATAAGACCAATGCCAGCTCGGGCTCTTACAATATTTGGAGGTCGAGCATGTTTAATCGACGATGCACCATCAAAGTACATCTCCCAAAATAGTAACTTTTTATCTTCCTCGACCTGCATTATTTGCTCATCGGGAAAATCATCATTTAGTGGAGAATCTGTCGGGATTGGATGTGCGGTAAGGAAGTCTGCCAAGGCTTGTCCTTTCACTGCCTTTTGTAGCATATATGTGATATCAAACTGCGGTAATAACACTGCCCACCTGGCCAGGCGACCTGTCAACGCTGGTCTTGTCATCAAGAACATCAGTGGATCAATTTTTGATATGAGGATAATTTTGTGGGATAACATGTAGTGGTGGAGTTTCTGAACAGCAAAAATTAGTGCCAGACATTGCTTTTCAATAGGGGAATACCGCACTTCTGCTCCAATTAACCTTCGACTGATGTAGTAGAGTGCATTTTCTTTTCTTTCTTTATTGTGCTAGGCCAATAATGCTCCGAGGGACTCTTCTAGCGCTGCCGTATACAGTATAAGAGGCTTCCCCGGAATTGGCGCTACTAGAATCAGAGGATTCAATAAATATTTCTTGATACTATCAAATGCTTCCTGACACTCTTCATCCCATTTAAAGCGGACTTCTTTCTTCATAAACTTCGAGAATGGTTGGCACATGTCCGAAAGATTTGATATGAATCTCCGGATGAAAGCCAGTTGCCCTTGTAATAAGCAAAGTTGTTGAACGTTCTTTGGAGGCGGCATCTCCATAATTGCTTTGATTTTATTGGGGTCGATCTCGATACCTCGATGACGGACAACGTACCCCAAAAATTTGCCAGAAGAGACTCCAAAAGCACACTTGAGGGGATTCATCTTTAGATCATATTTTCTGATTCATTCAAATACAATCCTCAAGTCATCTAAGTGATCTCTTCGGTCCATGCTCTTGACAACAAGGTCGTCTACGTAGCGCTCGACCTTTTGATGTATAAACTCATCAAATATATGCATCAGCGCCCATTGATAGGTGGCACCAGCATTTTTTAGGCCAATGGGCATAATTGTGTAGCAGAAGATGCCGATGGGTGTTCTGAATGATGTGTTCTTTTCATCCTCAGGCGCCATCTTAATTTGATTCTATCCAGACGATCCATCCACGAAGGAGAACATGTCGTAGTTGGACGTATTGTCCACCAGGAGTTTGGATATGGGGAGTGGAAAGTCATCTTTTGGGCACGCCTTATTAAGATCCCAAAAGTCAATACAAATATGAATATGCCCATTCTTCTTATTTACTGGGATAATATTTACAATCCAGTCAGTGTACTTTTTCTTCTCGTATAAAGCCTGCATCTAATAGCTTCTTTGTCTCAGCAATCACCTGTTCCTCAATCTCCAATCTCATTCTCCTTGGAGCTTGTTTGATAGGTGCCACATCTGATTTGATGGCCAATTTGTGAACCGCCACATCAGGGATAAGCCCGGCATCTCAGCATATGTCCAGGCAAAGTAGTCCCTGAATTCACAAAGAAGTTGCTTTATTTCTTCTACTTGTTCCTCGGATAGGAGAGAACTAATGAAGGTTGGGCGAGGGTCCTCCTCGGTTCTCAAGTTGACTTCTTTTAGTTTATTCATAATGGCTGCCTGTCCACCATCTTCAAGCTCTTCTGGTGCAGGTTTGGCCTCAACTGGTTGATCATCATAATCATCAACTTCGCATACCTCCTCATCACCATCATCCTCGAATTTAATTTCCCCGCATGTGATTGCTTGGAAAATCTCGTTTCTGGGGTATTTCCGTACAATAAATCCTAGCCCCTTTTTCACAAAAAAATTATTCTTCTTTATTGAGTGGGGATTTCTTCAATACCAGAGGCTCAAGCGGAAATGAACTTGCTGTTTGGAGGAACGAGTCTTACCTTTCTTTCTGAACATTCTTTAAATATTTCTGGTATTGTACCTGGGAAACCTCGTTGGTACTAATTCCCCGGAATCAAGGAGTGTACAAAACCAATCTCGATTTATCTCCTCTTCGAGTTGCCCGATTGAATAAAATAGACTCGCTGGTCCACCTTTTTCTTTTAGGGGAGGTACATAGAATGTCACGAGCTCTTCAACACAATATACTTCTCGCGGAGTGACTTCTTTGAAGTGTTGCAGGGGAATGCATGTGACTACGAGTATACTATCTGAGATTGACAGGCTATCTATTCTTCTAGAGAACACATCCTGCATTGTGTTCATGTAGATGGAATCATAGTCATAATCATCATTTGAGTATTCAACCTCAATACTCCTTTTGGTTGTTGATTGACGCATCCTCTTGGATTTTGTAGGGGTGGCATCACTTTCATCCGTATCACTTCCTAAGTGAGGTATATATTTCCTTTCTTTTGAGATGAACGATACTTTGGGAAGAGTCGGCGTTGCCTTCTTTCTCCCCACCTGCTTCTTCTTGTTCCCTTATTCAGGTTGCCTTGTAACTTCTAGGTCTGATGCCTGGGCCTTGAGAGAGCCTGATGGCTTCAACTTCTTTGGAATGAAGTACTTTGCATCTTCATATATTTTCAGTTCATGAACTCCGAAGGGTTTGATGTCACCAGAGATTCTGAATTCCTCTCCATCCCTGAGGTACTTCATGCATTGGTGTAGTGTGGACGGGATGATGCCGTACTCATGCAACCAAGGACGACCAAGGAGCGCTTTAAAGGCAGTATCCGCATAAATCACATGAAAGTTGGCATCCGTATAAAGTTCTCCAAATGTGAGGGAGAGTGTAAAAGATCCTAGAGACTTCTGCCCCTTCTCAATGAAGCCATGTACCATTAATTTATTTGATCCAAGATGCTCCACATTGAGGCATAGTGATCTTAGTGCATTCAAGCTCATTAGATTTATAAACGATCCTGGATCGATCAGAATTCGACTAATCATCATTCCATCACTTTCTGCAGTGACATATAGAGGACGATTATGATTCGCCATTCCAAGCATCATGTCTTCTTCAGAAAAGGTAATGAACGGCTCATTACGAGCTTGCAAGACCTCTGTCATATTACGCTCAACAAAAAATGCCTCGTACCTTTCGGGGTCTTTGAGAGCCTAAATCAAAGTCTCCCGAAGGTCTTTAGACATCATGAGGGCATCATATATGCTAAGTTGAGCCAGAATTTTTCTCAGATGGGATAAGACATTGTAATCTACCCCCGTGGCTGAAGTACTCTTTCTCTTAGGATCTTCAGGAATAACATCATCATTGATGACAATCTCTTTCCCCTTATCTTTATTCAATATCCTTTTCTTTAGTGGAGGCGGCAATATCTTACCACTCCTTAGTTGCACTTTGTTAACCTCTTCTGGTTTAAGTTCTTTTACTGGGATATTTTCTTCAGAGTCAGCCATTGTTGCATCCAGGGATTTATCTGTTGATTCAGAGTCACCATCCAGATTTATATGTCCCATTTCGGTTGCTATATCGGGTTCCAACCCATCTTCCTTTGGAAAATACAAGTCTTTCTCTGAACTGTAATCCATTGGCAAAACCATCATACAGGATTCAGAGGGTACTTCTTCAGTGTGTTCTTCTTTTGTTAAGGTACTCGGCGCCACCGAGATGACCCGACATACTTCTCTTAGAAGAGAATTCTCATCATCTTCTTCGGCTTCATCTATCTTAAGCTCTGACATGAAGTCAGCGAGCTTGATGGGTCGCCTCATAATCTGATAATATTCATCCAAGCTGTCGATGACCCTTTGAGTCGCAGTCTTTTTCTCCTTGGGCTTCTTCAGTTTGGTCTTCTTCTTGGTTGATTTCATCTTTCCAGTTTTTGAAGAACCAGCTTGATTGGAAAATTGTTTCGAAGTAGAAGATCATACCATCGGCAGTGCCTTTAAATTTAACACTGGCTCTGTAGGAGATTTCCACTTTACCCTTGGAACTCCTTCAAGCTGTCTCAACATCTTCACAGTCTTCTTGGAGACCGCAGTCTCCCACTATGCTTCTTGAGCTGGCTTCTTTTCATTTCTTCTTTCTTCAACCAGGATTCCGGCAGAAAACGTGATCACCCGAGTTGATTCTTTTCTGGGATGAGTCAATACATTATCTGATAGCGTAATCTCTCCCTTAAAAACATAACAATCTTCAATAAGATGACTGACTACCCGATGGTATGGGCAATAATTTGGGTCACCAGTGTGCTTTGACTCTTCGGGTCTCTTGCATTCAGGCAGCTCTAGACCCGTTTTCAACACTTGTTGAAATAATTTGGCAACACTCTCCCTCTTGAATAAATATTATTTATTCATTTTATCTTTGAGGGATTGGAACGTTCTATCACTAGCTCCTATTGTCTGTCTCGAGCGTTCTCCACCACCTTGATAAGTTCGTGGCTTATCGTTGCCCCCGAGTATCAGCTTCACTTGAGGGTTGGGATTATAGACTTGCTTAGGCTTTTCTTGATATTGTATCGGCTGTTTACCTTTGTCAATGTTGTAAATCACTTGCTTTTCTCTATCAGCTCTAGAGAAGAATGTAGAGTCCGCTTCACCCCTTATAGCACCCAGAGCCTTAGCCTTCTTGGGCTTATCAGAGTGATTTTCTAATATGGAGAAATTCAAATTCTCAAACTTGGACACTCTATCGAGCAAGTCTTGAAATGTGTTAATTGTAGCCATGCACAGGAAGGGTTGCATCTTATCGTCAATGTTGCCCATCAACAACTGCACAACGTGTTCCTTTTCTAACTGTTGCTCACATTTCATACTTAGATTTTGCCAGCAAGTGATATATTTTGTCACCGACTTTTCTCTTTTTCTCTTCTCCAAAGCAAGGTCAGCGATAGTAATCTTCTCCGTCGCACTAGTGAATCTCTTCATAAACATAGTTTCTAATTCTATAAAAGTCTTCACAGAATTATTTGGCAATTCTGCATACCATTCGAAAGCAATCGCTGTCAAACTGCTAACGAACTGTCGGAAGAGTATGTCATTATTTCCTCCTGTATTCCCACAGGTGGATTTAAACTGTGCTAGGTGTTGCCAAGGATTTCTGTTGCCATCAAAGGTATTAAATTTTGGTACTGAATATCCATTTGGATATGGCACCTGATCATACTTAGCTGGGTACATGCGACCCTTGCCCACCTGCTTCTCTGCCTGGTAAACAGCTACAATAGCCTTAATCTATTTAGTGATAATTCCTTCGAGCTGCGCAGCAGTCACGGGCTCGAAAGTACTTGTAATATTTTTTGGAGTGGGCTGGCGAACGATATTATGGGCTTCACGACCACCTTCAGGAGCTCCCTGTACTCCTGAACCTTATGGCACTTGGAAGTTTGGAGGGTCAGCAGGAGGATTATGCATGACGCCAATATCAGCATTTCTCTGCATCATCTGCATCATCGCCCCCATTTGAGTCATCATCTCAGTCATCTTCTCATTTAACTGAGAGATTTTCCTGTCTTTGACCCTCATTTGTCGCCTCATTTGTCTCCACATTTCAGCGAGTGTGACGTTTTCGGCCTCAGAAGGGATTTCATCTACTTCATCCACTTCTTCTTCTTCTTGAGAATGATGACTTCTGTCAGTGGTGGACCCTTCTCTATGATGAAGACGGTATACTTGCCTGGGTGGCGGTTGCCAGCGCTCTTCATTTTCATCGTCATCATAATTGGCACCATCATCGATGTCTATATGTGTCACCATATAGACAACTTCCATATCCAGAGTGTTATTTGTTTATTGAATTTCTTCTTATAGATTTTCTTCTAGAAATTCATCAATGTTGTCTTCTATATTTTCTTCCCCTTCCAGGTAATGTTCTCTAATGTTGTCTCCCCCTTCCATATTTCCTTCTTCTTCTAGTACTCGGATTT